TTTTTCTTCTTTACAGACTTAGACCGCTATGGCTCGGATTGTGAAAACCCAGCTGTTCCTACATCTCTGCTTAATGAGTATCCGAGCGCATTGCGAGACCACAGCTCCACTTCAGCATTCCACCTGCAAATGCAACAGCAAAACACCGGGCTCTGCTCGCCCATAAAACAACAGACTGTTCTCGCTGCCACAACGGCGGCGGCACAAATCACTGCCACCAATAAGTATCAGACGAATCAGCCGTCTCCGAACGCGGCACTCCTGCCAAACTGCACCAATACGACGCGCAGCACAAATCCCTTTCTCAACGCAAAATATGATTCCCAGTCCAACTCAGACTCGATGAGCGACCGACTGTCGTACTCCGGTAGCGCAGCAATGTTGGATCGTTTACAAGTGGTTGTGGAAGGCGCAGCAGCTCTTACCGCCAGCAGCAGTGGCGCTGGTGGTCTAAGTGCACTGAATTCCTCCTTTTTATTGCCCACCAACTCGACCGCTAGCAGCCTCAATCCGAGCGCCCGCGACAGCATAAGTGGCGCCGCGGCGCGCACTCCACGCACGAAAAGCGGACGTTCGGCGAATCGCGGGAACAGTAGAGGTAGCGGCGCCACTGGCGGAATGACCTCCTCAAGTAGCGGTGCCTCTTCGAACAGCAACGCCACCTCCTCGGCAGCGGCGGCTGGTGCTGTGGCAGCAGCCATTGCCAGTCGTAGTGAGCGGGAAAAGCTAAAATTGCAGCAGATTCAAAAAGAGCTGCGGGAGTACGCGCAATCTACAGCGGAAAGCTCGGTTGTTATGGATTTAGACGAGTTCACCGCTTCCGGCGGTGAGTCTGAACCACCACCAGAGCCAGCTCCACCGGAAATTCCACCACGAGCACAGTCGCTTTTGATGTCGCTGCGAAAGCATTCAGATTATAAGCTCAAGTACGAGGACAAAGGCGACCAAAAGCACGAAGAGTTCATACCAACAAATCAGCTGCACCAACAGCAACCATTGCAGAAGGGTGAGTTTCGTAGAGCTTTCTGCTGGTCATAAGCAGACTTTAGCTATAATATTATGGCAGAGAGTGTGGTTTAATTGAATGAAGCTTTTAAAGCTTGCAGGATAACGTGCAAAGATAGCACTGATAATAATGTTATTTGGGAATACTTTCGTTTATTGATGGCAAGAGCTTAAAAAGGGAAATATTTCAGTAGAAAATAATAGTGTGAATACCTTCACAGACTAGTTAATGTTTATAACTCCTGTGAATATAGTATTAAGCTTCTAATGATTGGTCGCTTGTAAAGCTTTAAGTAGTAAGTCATGCGAATAAAGTTTAAAACTAATTATGATTTTTGCGTTATTAGCATTTCCCCTTTAAAATCGAAGCTTAAGAAGGAAATTGAATGTTGCTAACATACTAATATTAACCAACTTTGAGTTATAAATCATTATGTAGTCTGTGATAATCGTTCGCTTGGTGAACGGCATCATCGAAGAAAATCTTGTAGGTATTTTTTAAATTGTTTATTTTTTTGGCTTAATGCGCAAAAACGTAACAAAAGCCTTTATGACATATTTCCTTGCGTTTTTAGGCGCGCGTTACGTGGCGCGCTTTTAGAAAACGAGTAAAATATTCTTCCCAAAGTAAAAAGAAAGATGTAAAAGGATTACGTTAAGGTGGTTACCGTAAGCAGGAGTACATCAGGCAGGCAAGGGTAAATACCATAAGGACCAGCTCGCTAGGCCTCTTTTCGTTATATTCACACCGATAATCCAATTTGAGGGCCTTATGTAGGCGCTGAGCAGCCGGAAGGGAAGATATTCCCCGCAGTACTCACGCCTTGTGTCCCTTTTGGACCTTCTGAGCTCACTGTTGTAAGCAGTTAGGGCCGATCTGTAGGCTGTCGCAAGGTAGTTCGTTGTCCGCTGCTCCTGCGACATTGGTATTGGAGGAGGGCACTGGTCGACAGCAAACGTTAGTTCAGTGGTGGGGCCTCTCTGTACCCTGTTGAGTGCCGTCCAGCTACCTACCCGTAAGTCAGAGTACTGGCCCTCGAAACGGCTAAGGATATAGTAAGCTGGTTCTGAAAATTACCCCACATAAACCGTTAGTCTGGACACTTCGCTGGGGTCAGCAACCTTAAGTACCGCGCCCTTCCACTGCCGTAAAGTGGAAGCTACATTTCGTAGCCAGTCATCCATCCCGGGCGGATAGTGCAGCAGCTAAATTTGGGCTTCGTGGAGCGCTTTCGCTGCTGTCTCTCGACATCCAAAATCGTTTTTTCACTACTTAAGCCTTTTGGGCTTGCGCCCTTTTCGTCCTTTGTAGTGTCGTTTTGGCCTGGCTCGCCACTTTGGACGTTTGGAGTTGAATCCATCGCGTCCGCTGCAGCCGCCATTTGTCAGTCAAGTTCATTGGGCAGCGAGTAAGACTCGATTTTATTTTTAAAAGTGTCTTCCAAAAGGATCCCACGAGTAATGCGGGAAGAGAGAGATCATTCGAGGCTCGGTAGCCCGAAAAGGCTGGCTAAAACCAGGCGGCGCCACGTGACTGAAGTACACCGTTAGAAGACATCACTAACGTAGTGCCGTTCAATCCGTAGGCACGGTCCGATTAACACCTGGACTTACAGATTTTATCGAGTTCTTCTCTCTAGATCTGCCATATTCAGTAAAAGCAGGAGCACCTCTCGTAGGGTGTGACTCTTCGCCACGTACGGTCGGTTTAAATAGAAACTTATTTAAGAAAAAATATCTCCCGATTATATCGGCATGACTCCTGCATTACTTTTCAACTAATTTCAAGTTAGCTTTCTGTACTTAACTATAAGTTATATATTTTATAGCAATTCCGCATAAAGCTAACTGGTTCTTTTTATGAATTGACGCTTTTTTTCTGCAAGTCTGCTTATAGTTACATATGTATGTATATGGCTCTTTTATTTCGATACTGTCAAAATTTATGAAACTAAAACCTCGATAAAACCTGCTTTAAAGTTTTGAATTTACATATCGAGGCCTAACCGCCAAAACGAGTAAGCGAGATTTGTTTTTGATGCAGATATGCATTTAGTTGTTTAAGGAACATTTCTTTATCAAAAATAAAATTTTGGAAAAAATGTCGCTTACATCTTTTTGGCGGTTAGAGCTCGATACATATATTCCCGAAATAAAAACAAATGCCTATTTCGTTCCACTTAGCTGCTGGTGACAGGTAGAGGTCATATCGGCATACTTAATTTGAGTTTGTATTCTTTTGGCTTACGACACTGTCGAAATAAATGAGCGATATGTGTAATGCAGTTAAAGAAACGTACAAGAGACTATCATTTAGTTCATAATTTATTCTCTTTTTCCAGAATTTTTAATTACCGATACGCTGCGCTCTAATGAAAACCAGTCCAGTGACTCGCAGAGCCAAGCAGGGTAAGTGATCCGAAATATGTTTACTAACAAATATGTATTAAAGGCTAAAAGTTAATAATGTTATCCTAATTGAGTTTCCCACTTTTGTTACATTGATCAAGAAGAAGAAAAAAAATACATATCTAAATATGTATGTGATCTATGTACTTAAGTGTATTTATGTACTTGCAATCTGTCTTTTAGTATCAAGTATCACTTCTGCCCCTCATTTTAACTGGTCACTGCCTTTATTTAATAAAAAAGGCGATTTTCTTGGATTTCTCCAATTCATATTTCCTATTGTGGGATATCTTTTGAGCTTTATTGCTTTCTATTGTTAATGGTCGTCGCTTTCACGGTCTTCTCGATTGCAATTTCGCTAAATAATTCGATTTGGGAAACATTACAAAATGTTGATTCAATTTTGAAAAATTGCATTCGGCACGCATTACGCACATCCTGCTGTGGACATGCACACTCACGCGAAGGCCTTATTACTGATGTACTATAATAAAACTTAGTTGGGCGCAGATGTAGTAAATATGTAAGGATGTGGAGAGTGCAGCGAATGGACATAGGATGCACGGCATGGCACAAATGCAGTGTAGTTGAAGGCTCCAGTTAATTCCGGCAAAAATATCATCCTTACAAAAGTATCTTATTGTGTTGTTGTTGTTCGTAGTCGTGTCCGTGTCCGTGTCCGTGTTGGCCCATCGTCTTTGGTGTATTTTATTACCTTTGCAGTTTATTGCGCACCTGGCATTGTGAGCAGTGGCGAGTGTGCTTGTGTGTGCTTGTGTGTGCTTGTGTGTGCCTGTGAGTGCGTTTGTGCATTCATGCGTCTTATCGGACGTGAGCGGCGGGCTACTGGCCGGGGTCAGAGAGATGTAGCAAAAATAAGAATGCTTCTTAGTAAAGCTTCACTCAGGCGATAGTTGCCCAGCAAAGGCATGTAAACGTACGCATAGTACATACATGTGTATTTACATACATATACATATACACTCCTCAATGCCGCAAAAGCTAGAACTTCATGTTGAAATACATATATTTCACTCACTTGAGAAAGATTTTCTATTATTGTTGTTGTCATAGTAAAAAATGCACCTTTTATTGTGCATCCACACATGGACATTTGCATGGACATTGTATTGTCGATGCCACATCGGCTATGAATGATAACAATCTCAGCAACGAATATCTTTTGTTGCAACTTTCTTTGCCATTGCGTACGGCAGGTTATTATTAACTGCCTCACAAAGCGCACGATTTTATGTGACCTGTTTAGTTCGCCTATTGTCATGGACTCAGGCAGGAATCTGAGATGAGGTCGGTATCGGCGTCGGGGCGGCAATAGTTTGGACGCACTCGAACCCTTTGCCACAAAGGTTAAAAAAATTATATTGTCAGATTAATCGAAATGATGAACATCCCCTACTTCGTTCACATCATATGGATGTACAGTACATATCACTGACACTGCTCAAAAGTGTACTAAATCAAAATTTGTCACTTTGGAAATTATCTCAGCAAAAGCCGATGAAAAAAGTGTTTTTTCCTCTCTTTTGAAATCCGTGTGCGGTATGCATAGCAGCGGGGGCCGAAAATCGTTTTTTTTTTTAGAATTTTGATTGGCAATGGCAAAAATATGTTTCATTATGCTCTAAAACCAATCTGTGTGAAAGATGAACATTTTTTGGTCAATATCTTAGGCTCGCCCAAGTCCATCAAAGTTCAAGTGCTAAATAAATGTTTTCTTAGATTACTTCGATTCTCTACAAAAAAAGGCACATGCAACAAATTATGTAGGACTAATACTTTCGAAGGTGCTTTCAATTTTAGTAAAAAAAAATGTTTTAATTAATGAATTTATTAATTTTTGATGGACTTTGATGTACTTGGATAAGATATTGACCAACAAATTTTCATCTTTCACACGGATTGTTTTTGGAGCAAATGAACCATATGTTTGCTATTGCCAATCAAATTTCTAAAAAAAACGTAGTTTCGGCCCACACTAATGCCTAGCTTCCACTCTACCAAAAAAGCTCAGCGATGGAATAAATATCTAAATACATATCAACATATGTACCTATACCCAAGAATATATAATCTTTAAATAATCGCATCTAGCTTACTGAATCGTGTTCGCATATGAATTGCTTGCTTCTTTTTGATTTGAAGTCATTGCGATTATCTGGACATTCATTAAGCTTCAATTTCTAAGTTCAGTTGTAACCTCAGCCTGTCAGTCAATGCCCTTTACTCGCCTTCATCTTCTCCATTTGCATTCAATCCATGGTCTTTCCATCTCTTTTGACAATTTGACCGATTCCGGCATGGAACGATGTTGTTAACGGCAATTAAAACCGCAAATAGCTTTTCAGATGCCAGCTGCGCTTCGACGAGTAACCAACGTTGCCGTTGCAGATAGTCGCCGTGCAGTTGCTTACTTAGGTGGCAATAATTAACTGGTTGCAGATCAGCTACCGAAGTGACCAGAAAGCCAATGGGAATGAGTGGGTATCATTTCGCGAGGCAACGACGAGTTTAATACAAGACTGAAAGTCTTTATTACTTTAAAGTAAATCGGAAACTATTCTCGTAACCAAGTGAGTAAGCTAGGTCGGCAGTGATTCTTGGTTAGTTCATCTTACTGCGGGGACATTTGTGAATAGAGAAATGCTTCACATGTTATTTAATATAGGTGGTTTTTAAGCAGCTGCATAGATCGTCGTAGGCTGACCTAGTTTCGGTATATCTGCTTCACGATGTCATCGAAGATTAGGTACGAACAGTATTGCCCGTTGTTCCAGGTCATAATAGGTTACACATAATCTGAAAAAAAGGAAGAAACAAATACAAACATATTAGCGAGGTTGAAGGAGCTAGACAAATGCTTCGTTATATCCATAGTTTCGTTATATTGACAGAATATCCAATCCTCGAAAAATTAAACCAAAAATGGAAAATTTTCGAAAAAATCATTATAATCAGAGATGCTTTGTAAAAATTAACCTAAAAATATATGTGTCCGTACCATACATAGTTTTTGTAGGTCTTGTTTCCAGATAAAATAATAAAGAAAAGCACAAATTGTTTTGATTACTTAGATATAATTAATGAAGAGGATCAGTCCAGCGCAAGTTAAAAACGGCCTATAAAATATTCGGTTTGATTGTATTAAATTGAATTTAATAAATCAATATGAATTGCAAAATATTAATACTTAGCAATAGAGAAGAAGATCCACTATCAGCTTATAAATATATATATGCCATTACGTGTATCACTACTACGATTCATTACAACGCCTTTATCAACTTGTTTTTATTTCCTTTCATAGTGCAGAAATTTGTATTACTTATTATTGGTGGTATCCTTCGTGTTCGTGCTCGTCTTCGCATTATCTTCGTCTTCGGATTTGTGCATAAGTTAGCTAAGACTTCTGAAACAGCTGGAAACGCTCCTAAATATAGTTAAGAAATAAAGCCTTTTTAAACCCATTTCATTTGATACCCATATTTTTAATAATTTGTTACACTTATTAAATAAATTGAGTTTACCTTTTTAAACAGGTGGCAACCCTCCTTAATATTATTAATATTCAAACTTAGGATATCTCACCAACTTCGTTTCACATCATGTTTTAATATTTCATTCAAATTATACATACTTTAATTAAATTCTAATTTTAAAACAAGCGGCAACCCTATTCAAAATATTTTAAAATCAAAACCTTGTTAAACCTTTTTCGACTGACAAACATATTGCGGTACAAATTAAAATTGTAAATCTAATTCCATTAATTCAAGTTGAATTTTATTTCAAAAACATATGGCAACCCTCTTAAATAAAGTTTAGAAAGAACCATTTTTAGCCCATGCCTATTTATACCCATACCTTAAGAATTAATTTGACTTATTTCATATAGTTTAATTTTATTCGACCTTTCAAACATATGGCAATCCTGTTCAAATTATTTTTAATCCAAAACCTCGTTAAACGTTTTTCGTCGGACACTTGTATTGTGCTACATATTTAAATCATCTAATACTCTTAATTCAATTTGAATTTAATTATAAAATCAGGTGGCAACACTCCTTCATGCAAATAAAGTTTGGAAATGGAAATAAAGTTTCTTCAAAGCAATTTTGATTTATAATCACAATGCAGTAATTTATTTAACCTGTTGCTTATATTGAATCTAACTTTGTAACAAGGTGGCAACCGTCTGCAAAATATTTTCAAATCACAACCTGTCAATTTTCAGCCTTTATTTAAGCCGACCTTGCTTTTTGAAACAGGCAACCAGTGGCGGATACAGGATTTTAATTGGGGAGGGGCGATTGGGGTCGACTTGTCGAGTAACGTTAAATTACAGGCATCTAACTTGATTCACATCGGAGTGACCAATCGAAGCTACATATATGACCTACAAGCATCCAACCTGCTTAAACCCTCATTTATTTTTCACGCAAATAGAGGCTTTGGTAATTTTTATGAAGTCCGAGTTAAAATATTTTGTGATATAATTTTACAAACAACAAATTAAAACAATTATACTATTTTGTAAAAAAGCACAAGATTAAAATTTATGCTCTGGGCTTATTAAAGCAGTATACATATATGAGTTTAAAGTAGGTTGTGTTGAATGCACTGTCAAATAATTCGCAATTCATAATTCAAGTGTTTAGTAAGAAAAATATATAGTAGAACTCATCTGTATTTAATAAAGTTGTGTCACATATTAAATTTTGTGAGTGCTTAATCTATATTATGAGTTATTATTAAGCAGTCTTATCCCACCCGTGACAAAAAAGGTAAAAGTTGTTATATTTATTTATTTGTTTTATTTACAGAAGTTGAGTTTGTGTTTCGTGTTTGTTACATAATGTTAGAAATTCATTGCAAATACTTACCATAATTGCATTGTCGTTTCCACGTTGTTAGATAAGAATAGTTCAACAGAGAAGCATATCCCACCCATGACAGCTATGTGTGTGACAGTTGTCAGAGGT